GTCGCTGCTGCGGCTGCGGCGGCTCCTCGGCGCTAACGGTGGCAGTGGGAAGGGCGGCGGCAGCAGCAGCAGTGCTACTGCCAGCAACCGCATGAAGCGCCGCCGTCCTGATGCGAAGGACGATGGTGCCGATGGCGACAGCAGCGACGACGACGACAACGATGTGGAGGCGGAGCGGCTGAGCGCGAGGGCGGCGGAGGACGACGACTGGAAGGTGTACCTCTCAGAGAGCGACGACGAGGAGGAAGAGGAGGGGGAAGAAGAAATGGAAGAGGTGGAAGAGGACGGGGAGCACTTTGAAGAAGAGCTGGAGGAGGAGGAGGAGGAGGGGGGCGAGTTTGATGAGGAGGCCACCGGNGAGGTGGAAGAGGACGGGGAGCACTTTGAAGAAGAGCTGGAGGAGGAGGAGGAGGAGGGGGGCGAGTTTGATGAGGAGTCCACCGGTGAGGAAGAGGAGGAGGAAGTGGATGTTGGCAAGGAGGACGCCTACGAGGATGACGACGACGACGCCGCCGCTGAGGACGGGGCGGAGACGGCGCAGTTGCTGCCGCAGTTCCGCCACGGCACCACCAGCCTTGATGCGCTGCAGCACGTTGTGCGCGCCAGCGACCCGTGGTTCGCCAAGTACCACCAGGACCGTCACGGCGCCATTGACACGACGCCTATGCAGCAGCAGCAGTCGGGCGACAGCAGCATCTCTGTCTCGGCGTCCGCGCACGCCGTGCAGCACTTTTTGCATCCACCATTCGTGCTGGGAAAGAAGAGTGCCGATGTTGCTGCTGCTCCCGCCGCCTCCAACAACAATGGCAGTGGTGGTGATGCTGCCGCGGTGGAGCAGCAGCAGCAGCAGCGNGATGTTGCTGCTGCTCCCGCCGCCTCCAACAACAATGGCAGTGGTGGTGATGCTGCCGCGGTGGAGCAGCAGCAGCAGCAGCGACCACCGTACATGCACGAGACGTTGTGGCGCAAGTGGCTGGACTACTGTGTTGCGGAGTCGCGTGGCCCCATGACGGTGGAGGAGCGTGGGCTGCTGGACTTGCTGCAGGGGTACTCTGACGTGATGGACTGCTGCCGCTCATGGGACAACGCGGATGCGCGGTGTGAGATCTTCCTGCTGCACGCGCTGAATCACTGGTTCAAGGCGCGCGCCGTGGTGCTCGCACATGACGCCCTGCTGCGGGAGCGGAAGGCAAAGAAAAGGAAGGCAAAGCAACAGAAGGGGCAGAAAAAGAAAAAGGATAATAATAATAAGAAGCACGCAAAGTTAGAGGAGGCCGATGGCGATGACAGCACTGACGACGAGAGCGAGGAGGGCGAGGACGAGGAGTATGAGCTGCGCGACCGCGGTTTCGGTCGGACGCGGCTGCTCATCATGCTGCCGATGCGCAACATCGCCCACCGCTACGTGACGACGCTCGTCAAGCTGCTGCGCGCCGCCCCCGACGACTGCGCCAAGCTGTCGACGTTCAATGAGGACTTCACCGAAGTGGCGGAGGCCGCCGACCCGACCTTCAAGCGGCGCCCGCGCGACTACCAGCGGCAGTTCGCCGGCAACATCGACGACTCGTTTTGTGTGGGCGTGCGTCTGGAGCCGGGGCGCGTGCGTGTGTACGCGCACCCGCTGAACAGCGACCTGCTGCTGTGCTCACCGCTCGGTCTGCGGCGCCGGCTCGAGCGCAGCGGCGACGCGTTGGTGTCGCTCGCCTCCGTCGAGGTCTGCGTGGTGGACGAGGCGCACGTGCTGCTGATGCAGAACTGGCAG